CTATGGACAAATACATGTTGACCAAAAACTATATGCCCCTGAATCCTCAATTTCAGAGGCAAAAATATTGACTACTTTAAAATACTTTTTTTAAAAAATATTTTAATGTCGTGACCTTAACCTTTAAACTCACAAAAACACACTTTCATAATTCTAAAAGCAAACTGGAAGAGCTTCGCTTCTTTAAATGAGTGGAGTTAATTATTTGTATTATCAAAAGCAGTATTAGTTAATTTTGATCTCATTTCTGTCTTTGAATAATATTAATTGTACAAATATAAACAAAACTGAATTTAAGCTTGTAATATTTTAATGAAAGAATTTAATGTATAAAATAAATCTCTATAAAATAGCCATTGGATTAGTTGTAACATTGAAAGAAGACAATTAAAAAAAAAATCATTGGTACAAAACTGTAACAAGTCAATTCAATGCACTTAACCTTTTTCTAACTCTCTTCAGAAATGATAGATATTCTGAAAATCAATGTTTAGCTTATTATTTTGAGACAATGCTATTGCAATAACATGCACAATAACAAGCAATATACATATTTTCCCATGATCTGTCATACATTGTCAGATAACTTAATTACTAATGGTACTGATCAACAGAAATTTACTTTCAAAATGATCACGAGATTGTCATAAACTGCACAAAAGTAAATTTCTTGCAATACTTGGAACACATTTCTTTGTGCTGTGTTTATTATTCATCAAATCACATTTAATGGCTGAACTATATGAGAAGAATATTTCCGAAGCAACTGTGCAGCAATTTTGGTTAATATTCAGTAAATACAATATCCATGCATGATAAGAAATATGGTCACCTTTGAATTATATGTGTTAGCAAGTCTGAACATTACATTAACAATATATATCTTAGAACTTGATTCACAGACTAAATGTAATACAAGAGGCCCATGGGCAACATCGCTCACCTGAGAAGCTTTGACCATTTTGTTCTTTACCAGATTTCCCCCTTGTAATACATATTGCGACCACACCCTACCCCACTGATCATAATTCAGACATTTTGAAATCTACACTACCCCAGGATGCTTCCATGGTCACATAAGTTTCAGCTTTTCTGGCCCAGTGGTTCTTGAGAAGAAGATTTTCAAAGATTTTCCTATATATTTCTATGCAAAACTTTGATTTCCCATTGTGGCCCCGTCTTACCCCTGGGGGGTCAAGATTTGAACAATTTAGAATCTACACTACCCCAGGATGCTTCCACATAAGTTTCAGCTTTTCTGGCCCAGTGGCTCTTGAGAAGAAGATATTCAAAGATTTTTCCTATATATTTCTTTGTAAATTTTTGATTCCCCATTGTGGCCACACCCTACCCCCGGGGGTCATGATTTGAACAATTTAGAATCTACACTACCCAGGATGCTTCCACATATGTTTCAGCTTTTCTGGCCCAGTGGTTCTTGAGAAGAAGGTTTTCAAAGATTTTTCCTATATATTTCTATGTAAAACCTTGATTACCCATTGTGGCCCCGCCCTACCCCCGGGGGTTATGATTTGGACAATTTAGATTCTACACTACCTCAGGATGCTTCCACATAAGTTTCAGCTTTTCTGGCCCAGTGGCTCTTGAGAAGAAGATTTTCAAAGATTTTTCCTATATATTTCTATATAATTTAATTTTGTTTTTATTCTCGCCTCTCATTGGTTGATTTCCAAAAAGGAACGCAAATTATTTTGTATAATCTGGTTTGGTATGGGGACACACCCCCTTGGCGACCAGCTTAATCATCTTATCCATGCAATCCCCTCATTTCCAGTCCTCGAAATCCATGGAAAATTCCAGATTTAATAAATTTACCTTTAACTTCAAACAGTTACTCAATATTACCTCATGTAAACAGACATCATGGCTGCTAGATCTATTTATCAGTTATTACCTCCCCTCGCTTCCCATCACTTCCGTTACTAGGGTTGTATTATTGCGCGGTAAATTTGAACTCATAAAAAGCAGCACAATTTTACATCCAAAGTTGTTTTATTTATTTTAAAATTAAATTATAAGGAATGACTTTAATTCTTGGCCAAATTATCAAGTATAATCTGGTTTGGGTCAGTTTATTTACGCTTTTTTATAATTCGCTTCGCTTTTTTATAATCCGCTTCGCGGATTATAAAGTGTAAACTAACCCAAACCAGATTATACTCAATAATTTGGCCAAGAATTAGAGTCATTCCTTAAGTAAAACTTTGATTCCACATTGTGGCGCCGCCCTTCCCCCAGGGGTCATGATTTGAAAAATTTAAAATCTATCTTAAAAAACACCATGTACAACTAAATTACCCCAGGATGCTTCCACATACGTTTCAGCTTTTCTGGCCCAGTGGTTCTTGAGAAGAAGATTTTTTAATGACCCCACCCTATTTTTGCCTTTTCTTGATTATCTCCCCTTGTGAGGGGACTTGGCCCTTCATTTTAACAATCTAAATTCCCCTTCACCCAAGAATGCTTTGTACCAAGTTTGGTCAAAATTGGCCCAGTGGTTCTTGAGAAGAAGTCGAAAATGTGAAAAGTTTACAGACGGACAGACAGACAGACAGACGGAAGACGGACAAAATGTGATTAGAAAAGCTCACTTGAGCCTTCAGCTCAGGTGAGCTAAAAAAACATATATATATATATATATAAAAGCATGAAGAGGATAACTCTACACCAAAGTGGTATTGTATCAATTAAGTTTTAAAAACCACCATGTACAACTTTAGATGCAATTACATACACTGAACTATGATCAATTAAGATGGCATATGTCTTAATTAAAATGTCTGATGCAATGATCATTTAAGAAAAATGTAAACTTAATTCTTTTGGGAGAAAATAATATTTTCAGCGTTTCAAATGCCAATGTATTGAATAAGAAAATGAATGCCCATGTCAAATCATTTTAATTTTGGTCCCACCCTGAACATTGAGATCATATACAGTGATATACTTTAAGAAATATATACTAAAGACCACCATAAAATTTTGTGCAGTTCAACAGTTAAATTAACTACAGTTCAGCAGCTGAATTAACTACTTGTATATAAACAAACTGTGACACCCATAAGGTGAGCTGAAAATTCAACTAAACCTACACCAAGTGTAACAATGTTACAGAAAAATATAGGTACATGTATATCTACAGCATCTTTTTAAAGTGAAAAAAATTAATAAGAACTGTAAACAATTGTTTTATATAACAAAAGTACAACACATTGGACAGATGAGATCGACTAGAAAGCGTAAAGTAGAATATCAGTAGATATGTAAACATATATCTAAACATATAAATAGAGTAATTAAAATGACATTGCATATCATCCTTACTCCACTTCTATCAAAATGCATGAATCACAGACCTCCTATCACATTTTGTCAAATTCATGTAAAAAAAAAAAAAAATAACTGAAATTACTAAACACTGAAAAAATCAGACTTACATTACATGTATATGTTTTTTCAAAAAATTCCTACACATGTACAGTATTTTAAATACATTTTTATATTTTATGTAATGAAAATTTAAAAGGTGAATGGTAGCTGTAAAACTACAGATGGATGCTTTCTTAGATATTAAACATAACATCTCAATTTTTTCCCTGCAGATAAAGGCATATAATTAACCCAAACGCCAGAATCATCAGCACTCTCATCAGAGGTCAACTCCTTGCCAGAAGAAGAAAAATTAATATTATTTTGTGGCTTAAGATGACAATGCACAAAGTCACATCTATATTTACAATTTATGAAACATTTTTATCTTCTTCATGTAGAAATATAAATGATAAGTTAAACATGCAGTTCCCAAACATAGTTAAAGTTTAAGATACATATCAGCTGCTTCAACAAGTATGATACATTTATATGTGTATTGTACACCGGTTTAAAGATCATCATATGTTTAATTTCAAATTCATGTACATGTGTATAATGAAAACCTTGTTTATGACAGTGTACATTTGAAAGCTAGAAGCTGAATTACTTGTTTAATACAGACAATAAAACAACCCAAAGCAATATAGGTATATACATGTACTGGTATCAGATTGAATTCAGCTCTTTTGCAATAACATTATGTCATGCTAGAAGTGATAAAAATTCTGCTGAAAATTAAACATATTTTGATATTGAGAATTCCTACAGCCATGACAAAGCCCTGAGAAAAGCAAGAGATAATTCTCTATAGTAAGATATTAATACCATGTATTTACCGGTATTTATTTAAACAATATTTTATTATGATTGAACATAACAGGATCGGACAGCAGGCACGGCCTATATAAGTCCTTTCCACAATACAAAGATTAATACCATGATTACAGTAGTATAAAATTTTGTTATTGTAAATCCCTTTTTATACACAAAAACATTATTTTCATATAATTAGGTGAGACCAAATAAGTTGCTTTAAAAATGTCATTTAAGAAATAAACAACAATGTTAAAAAGTTCTCTGGGAAATGAACTTTTAGTTGGTCACATGATCAAATCCTGTGAAGCCCAAAGGGCTTCTCAGTAGATTTGATCACGTACCAACTAAAAGTTCATTTCCCAGTGAACTTTTTAACATTGTTGTTTATTACTTATATTTACATTTGAAACCAATACATTTCGAGTTAAATTGTATTTATTACACGAAGAGGCCAAAGTATTGCTATGTAGTGACGCGCAATGACCTAAAAGTTGTTTGGTCAAAATATCACATCGCTCTGTGATCCGGTCGCGCTATGACCTCTGACCCCCAAATGAAATTCACACAGAATTGAACGTATTTTCTCTTCAATAGGTTCATCTAAGAAAGATATTTGCAAATGTTAATATTCATGTATATATTTTTCAAAACTTGAATGTTGTATGTACAACAATAACCAGAATTTGTAAAAATTTTGTCTCGCTTATGAACACCAATTAACTATTTCACAAATATGATGTGTCCTGAAATTTGGTAATCTACACTATCACTTTTGTTCAGTAAGAAACAAATATAATGTGACAAAGTCTTGTGAGTTTGACTTGTTTTGACTTGGGACAAGTCTTGCGAGTTTGACTCAGACAAACTTCCTGAGTTTGGACTGTGTGTAGTGGTAGTAGTAGTACTTGACCCGGTCCCAGACGTACTTGATCTGGTGTTTGTAGGACGTACAGGTGCTCCCCGAGGAGAGATGGCAGTAGAGGTACAACCCCAGGATTAACAGAACCACCCCACATATCGCAAATAGGATCCACACAAATATCTTGGCACACTGTTCCTCTGAAATAAACAGTATACATGTAACTCTTTTTAACTTTGAAACTAGTATAAAAAATTGTTCCTCTTTTGTATCATTATTCCTCATCATGTTACAATTTCACATACATATCAAAATTATCTACAAATCCTATGAACCTCTTTCATGGCAACGATTTTAAGCGTTTCTATAACAAATATTGAGAATTTAATGCATTTTTCTCTAAAAAGCAAAATTAGAATCTTAAAAATTTACTTCACTCCCAAAAAATAATCTCAAAAAATGTAGTGAAAATAGGATGATATGGCCTTAAACTTTGGTATAAAATTTATATGGAAGTCATTATAGAAACCTGAATACAAAACATACCATCCTCATTTTGGATTACAGACTCCTCAAACCGAACTCTCTTCTCTGCATCCTTTTCTCCTGAAATATTCAAATCTGGGTTTACTGAAGTAATACACTTTTCATTTATTTTATCAATAAACTCAGGTACTGTGAGTAAGCTCCCTAAACAATCTTTGTACAAACATTCATTAATTCTTCTTTAGAAGTTACACTGGACAAGAATGTCAATTTTCTCTAACTTGCAAGAATGACCTTGGGTTAAGGTCAATACAGATCCACAGGTCAACATCAATCTCTGTACCCTGTATGAGCTTCCAAAGACTCGACATTAAAAAGCTATAGCTGGACAAGATTGCACATAGAGATGAGCAATGCCCCACAAAACTCTATTTGCAGTGGGTATAAAGAGTGAATCTTTCAATTGTAACCTCCCACTGTCCAAGCAAACAACAGGAATACAATGTATGTATACCTGGTTTTCTTCTCCTAAGGATGGACTGGGGTTCTTTCCCTGGAGTCCCAGGAACCTCTGCGTGAGCACTAGGGTCATTAACGTCTATATCTTCTTGATTTTCAAATTTTTTCATGCTATCTGATAAAATAGAACAACAGTAAAATATTTTCTTTGTGTCTCTGGTACAGACATATGAGATATCATATAGGCATTTAAAAAAAAAAATCTCTTTGTCAACCTAAAAATTTTTTTTAATGATAATGACAATGTTGTTATCTTGTTTGGTTATCTGTGAAAAATCAAAAATGGTCCATTGTCATATTTGGAAATGATTGGTTAATATCCAGTGTGCCAGTCACATTGTTTGCCTGTCAGTCTGTCTGTTTTCCAGTGTGTCAGTGACACTGTCTCACTCTGTTTGTCTGTCAATCTGACTGTTTTCTTGTGCGTCAGTCAACTTGTATGTTTGTCTGTCAGTCTGAGTGTTTTCCAGTCTGTCAGTGTCATTGTCTGTTTGTCAGTCTGACTGTCCTCCAGTGTCAGTGACATTGTTTGTTTTGTCTGTCAGTCTGAGTGTTTTCCAGTGTATCAGTCACACTGTCTGTTTGTCTGTCAGTCTGAGTGTTTTCCAGTGTATCAATCACTTTGTCTCTTTGTCTGTCAGTCTGAGTGTTTTCAGTGTGTCGGTCACATTGTCTGTTTGTCTGTCAGTCAGAGTGCTTTTCAATGTGTCAGTGACATTGTCTGACTGTCTGTCAGTCTGACTGTTTTCCAGTGTGTCAGTCACCTTGTCTGTTTATCTGTCAGTCCAACTGTTTTCTAGTGTGTCAGTGACATTGTCTGTTTGTCAGTCTGTCTGTTTTCCAGTGTGTCAGTCCCCTTGTCTGTTTGTCAGTCCGACTGTTTTGTCACATTGTCAGTTTGTCAGTCTGAGTGTTTTCCAGTGTGTCAGTCATATTGTCTGTTTGTCAGTCAGTCAGTTTATACCTACCCTGATACTGGTCAGCTCCTGCCTCAGCATACACTTGTGTGAAGAAGTCCAGGCTATTTATAGTAATTGGGTGATTATCTCCCAGCGCACTCTGCCTAATCTTTGTGGCCTGTTTGATAAAATAACTAATCTAAAAACCAAAGCAGTCAAAGCAAAATTTAGATTTCCATGAAATAAATTTGAGATATTAACATATATAACTTTGACCCCCTAATGTGGGCTTCATTGTTAAGATTTTATGAACAACCCTGAGTCTATCTTTCATGAAAATGCTTAACATTTCCAAATAATTTTTTTCAAGATTATTTGCAAATTAGAAAAAAATTCACTACTGTGGGATGAGTAACATCTGTACCTTACCTTTCCTGCATATTCCAAAGCCAGCTGCGGTCTGTAATATTTTTTTTACATATCATTTAAAACAAAACATAGCATTTTATATTTTATAAATAAACTTAATTGATTGCACCAAATAGAGTGACACTACTTTTCGAACAACCATAAGATCATACTCATCTATATGCAAAATTCCTATCTATTATCAAAACCTTACTGCTTTTCATCGAGACAAATTCTGGCCAGTTCTTCGAACTCATCAGCTCGAACTGTCTCCTCTGAGACACCAGCGGGAAGTTCTTGGTCTTTCTGAGCATCTTCTGTTTAAAATAAAGAACTCATTTAAATGTACACTGTACATACGGTTACCTAATTTCATACTGAACTCAAGCTTTATAAAGATTTTTATGCATATATTAATGATAACATATATTTCTTTTTTATCCAAAGTTAACCCCTTTATTCTGTGAATATCATTCATTGAATATTTTTTTCATATCCCATATTTGTGATGTCACAATGGGTTTCGCATAAGAGTGATGAAGTAATATAAAGTGGATTCATATACCGGTATATATGAAAACAGTAAAATATTCATAGTGGTGTATAAAACATGACTAGGATAAAAAGAATCTCCAATGATATCCCAAATTGTTGGATAAGAGTCATTTTCAACCACAAATCATGGGAGATCCTATATTTATGCAGGTAGTTTAAAATATTACTTAATTTCCCCACAATTACAATACTTTGCTCTCACTCTAGTTAATGACAGAAAATGTCCCATAATGTTACCCACTAGTTTTTTTCCACTTACCTAGCTTTTTCTGTATATCTGTGGTGTCTATCAGAGCAGATTCATAGTAAATCTTTTCAGCTTGAATAAAGTGTATAGCTTTCTCATCTGATTACAGTGTTAAGGATAAGACAATTCCAAAAGAAATCTCTGAGAACCATTTACCAGTATTATGGGGGCCATAAAAGCGCAAGTGCAAGAAACAGAGAGGCAAGTTTGAATTTGAACCTCTCAAATTCAAATATCTTAAAATGTAGCTAAATGGTAAATGGCTTGAAAAGAAATAAAACCACTTTGTTTCATAACAATAAGAGGCAACATTATTGCTTTTCTACACTAAATTGAAAGGATACACTCTTCTTGTCTGTAAAATATATCTGCAATCTATCAGAAAAGGGAAACAATGTAATATTGTAAACCAGTAAACTTGAAATTTTAAATAACACACCAATATCATTTCTTACATATATTCATTTCTTTCTAGACTAAAACATGGTACAACATGTACTTACATTTCTAAGGCACTGTGGCAGTAGAGGGAAGTTAGAGTGAGGTTTAAGTCCCCGCAGACAAGCCATGTAACACTTGAGTGCTGATTTCAGTTTCTCTTTCTTCTCCATTTCTAAACCTCTTTTAAAAAGCTTGATCCTCCCCTCTCCATCCAGATCACTGCCATCTGATACATCAATCCCTTCATCTGGTAAAAAAATATATCTAAAGGAACTTTCACATTCTACAGGATTCACATTTCTATTAAGTTAAGATACATGTATAGACATTAAAACAATATGAGCTGCATGTTTGACATCGAAAAATTTTGTTGCAAATTTGTAATTAACTGTTTCAATGACATGAAATAGAACATTTATGAACTTCTGTTGTTCAAATTTGCAATGGAAAAACTTTTTAAATTATACGCTTTGATTGAAGCAAAATTGCATTATTGTTGTCCTGTACAATATTGATATCTTACATAATACTGTATATTCGATCGTACAGAAATATTTCTTCAGAAACATTTATGAACTTTATTTTGGTCTTATTGATCATAAGGGTTTAAATTACATACAAATTAATTATAACACATTTTACCAGCAAAATAAAATTCTCAAAAATGCAGCTCATATTGCTTTCAGCATACTTAAACATTTATTGTAAAGAGACTTTTGCAATTTTTTAATAAAAATTTAACACCAATGAAAAAATGTGTCTTACATTCAAAAGTCAATCATGTATAGTATATCAGTAAGTCTACTTGTTGCTTAGTTATGCAGCAATGAACAAAGACTCTAGAATGAGTTTTGAGAAATTTGTAAGAAATTCGTATTTTCAATAAATATTGCAACATTATTAAACAATTCCCTCAAATTATGTACTTTGTGTCATCTTCTTGAGTTCAAGTTATACTGAAACTCATGGGCCAAAACTGTAGAAGGTGAGCACTTTACTACTCCTTCAGGAAAAAAATAATCTGTAAAATTTAATAAATGTGGAAAAAACCAAGCAAAGCAATGATTCAAAAAATTCCTGACAAAAAAATATGAACAGAAGTAAACACAGTACCATCTTCCTCCTCGATGACGTCTTCTGTCCCTGTTTTCTGTGCGGTCTCTTTTTCTTTATCAGCTGTCCCTGCTTTCTGTGTCGTCTCCTCTTCTTCATGCTCACCATCCCCTGGCTGTCGATGAAGTGTCAACAAATCTTTGTTCTCTTCATTACCGCTCTCTGGAAAAGACACTGTTTCATCCCTGGATTGTGGCTCTTCAATGGTTGACTTTTCCACCCCAGTTAATTTTTCTGCGTTTGTAACCAACTTATTTTCTTTAGAATCTGCAGTGTCTCCCTTTTCTTCTAACGGAATATCAGTAACATTATTACTTTCGTTTTCTGTACTTTTTCCTTCATCCATGTTGAGGGTTACCTTAAAGATGAAAAGTTTCCTTTATGAAAATCATATTTATGAAGGTGAGTTTAGGTCCAAGTCTATTAGCACTAAAGCTGAGGTTGAATTACATTGATTTATTGGTTATTCAAAAGTTTCAATATGAAATTGACAAATTTATAATGTTAAGCAATTTATTTATTTCTAATTGTCATAACTTAGTTACTTCAATGCAATCTTCAGAATTTTCTCTTCAATTTTTTTGTCTGTATTTATAAACTGCCCTTTATTATAAATTCAACATTTGTCTAATATCGGGTAAATTCATATTCAAAATTTAAAAATTTTCCTTCAGCAGCTCAGTCAGTAGAAGGTTCGTAAGTTACTAGTAGTACCTCAGCTGACAAATTTTGATTTCGAATTTATTTGCTCATTTTCCATGTTTTCTTGTCACAGTATAATACCAATTCTTAGAAGTACTACTTAAAGAATTTGAATAAAAAAGGTATATGTAATATGTTTTACATGTGACCGTTGGTGCGAGTGCAGTTGTACCATCAAAAACACTTGAAAAATTGATCAGCCACTTCAAACATCAAGCCGTATGAGACATCTCGACTATCTGTGATGTCACATGCCGTCATGGAGCTCGTCTGAGCTTACGGAGACAGCCGAGTGTCTGGTTGAAACTATAGACCTAGTGCAATTTTGGTCGAAAAACATTGCAGTTATTTTTTGTTTCTTTGAAAGATTTTTACAAAATGAAAGCCTTTTATGCTTTACGTTATTATTTATTTATTATGTTTTACATGTGACCGTTGGTGCGAGTGCAGTTGTACCATCAAAAACACTTGAAAAATTGATCAGCCACTTCAAACATCAAGCCGTATGAGACATCTCGACTATCTGTGATGTCACACGCCGTCATGGAGCTCGTCTGAGCTTACGGAGACAGCCGAGTGTCTGGTTGAAACTATAGACCTAGTGCAATTTTGGTCGAAAAACATTGCAGTTATTTTTTGTTTCTTTGAAAGATTTTTACAAAATGAAAGCCTTTTATGCTTTACGTTATTATTTATTTATTATTCCCACAAAGGACATTGGGTAGTAAGGAATTCTGGGAATGTTTCACATAAAAATTGCTTGACGTATGTACAGATTTCATTTCAGATTTCCTCTGTTCTTACAAGTTAGTCTATTGAGCTTGCAATATTTATATGATGCTTTTTGCACATTTTGAATTTAACTTTATTTCTCCTTTCATCCTTGTTGTCGTCGCTCTGTAGGCTCTGTGCGTTTCTCTCCATGTTCAATATTGTCTCCAAGGAAGCGTTCATTATTTTCAACAACACAAAACAAATTGAACCTAGGTATAATATGTCTTATATGAATCTATCTTCAAATCAATTATACCTATCTTCAAATGAATTAGAGATAGGTATAATTCAACTGAACCTATCTTTAATTGAATTGAAGATAGGTGTAATTCCATTAAAGATAGCTATAATTCATTTGTACCTAGGTATAATTATTTAGAGATATGTATAATTATTTACAACTACCTTCAATTCAATTGTACCTATCTTTAATTCAATTGTACATATCTTCATTTAATTTGAAGATAGGTTCAATTATTTGAAGATAGGTGCAATTATTTGAACAGGTCCGGCACAATCTCTTGATTAAGCTATATAGTTTGATTTAGCTATATAGCTTTATTAAGCTATTCAGAATAGCTTGATTAAGCTATTTTCTCATACTGTTTTTCTCAAATGTGTTATTTTTTCAACGTGTGCAAAAAGTCGCACCTTGGTGCAGTGGAAATATTGAACTTTGTACTCTTCTGAATACAATGCATGTAACAATCACTCACCGTATTACGTCTCCTTGAGAGACTTTGAACTCAAAGTTTTAACAGTTTTGGGGCTATTGATGAGTGACAACACAGTTATTTCTTGAATGAAATTATAAAGGAGGCCAGTTATGGCCAACAGGATAATTGATTAGTAACAGTTCAGCACAATGAGAAGCAATCATACTTACCCACGCCTCACCGCACACACAGTTACTCAAACAATGGAAATTCTTATTTTGATTAAAAGTATTCAACAGCAGCAATGTTAGAACTTTCTATGATTTAGGTTGTATTTTTGATAGTCCATTGTACATATATGAATAGTCAAATATTTGCGACTTTTTGTTTATTTCTTTCAAAAACCGTTTTTGTGAAAAATTGCATATAAATAGCTTTATCAAGCTATTTTGAATAGCTTATTAAAGCTATATAGCCTTTTAAAGCTATGTAGCTTAATCAAGAGATTGTGCCGGACCTGTTGAAGATAGGTAAAAATATTTGAATATATGTTAATTTGGCGTTCCATACAATCTTCAATTTTACATTAGTTTTTATGCAAAATTGTTAATTTACGAAGTAATCATTTTTTGGTCAAATTTTGGTCATATCCATCATCAGTGTGACTATCAAGAAATTTGGTACTCACCATATTGCGCCGTTCGGCCACAAAATGCAAGTAAAGTAGAAAGTAGGTAAAAATATATCATCAAAATAGCTAGATTTTCTACTTTGGATAGGTTTAAATAATAGCTACGTAGGTAGAAATAGTCTTTGGACTGGACCACTGTTTACCTGTTTACGTTACAGTCACTTACTCGTATCTAAATTTCTATATTTCTGACAAAATGAAATAGAAAGATATTCTCAATAATTCTTAGAAAAATGTATCAATTATCAACCGTCCTACCTTTCACTGGTATAAATAAATTTAACTCCAAAGATGATAGTTGAGATTTCGAAAACGTCAAGACATGCTAAATTGGCGTGACGGGTGCTTGTTATATGAATCGCAAAATATTCGAACAAACTTTCATTACTTTAAAAATTTTCCAAATGTAAAAAACCACGCGTAAATTATGAAAATGTTGTTGTCTTTTTTTTTAGGAAGGTGGAGGTGTTTTTATTATTGCGCCAATAAATAATAAATAAATAAAAATTATCAGAGATCGGTAAAACTGGTCATACAGACTGCCGAACATACCCCTGACTATTCTCTATTGAGAAGTTTTTCATGGCTCGTTTTAATACTCTCCCTCAACCACTTGAGGGGGAGTGTTAAAACGAGCCATCAACTTCTCAATAGAGAATAACCCCTGACCAAAGCCTGGCAAAGGACCAATTACCAAACTCACAATCTGATTTGAAAAAAAGACGTCAATGGGCCTTATAGGAAAGCCTATTAGGATTAATGTAGAGAGAAAAAAATTTAAAAGGCGTAAATTTTGAAAAGGCGTAATAACGCGAAAAAAGGCATTATAACGCCTTTTGAAAAGGCGTTATTACGCCTTTCCATTCCAAAAGGCGTTATAACGCCTTTCTAAAAGGCGTTATAACGCCTTTCTAAAAGGCGTTATAACGCCTTTCCAAAAGGCGTTATTACGCCTTTTACTTTCAATACATAAGTAAACATATTTAGCCCATCCGAGGGGAGGGGGGGTGTATGCAGAAATTGTACCTTTGGGACATGAATTTCACAATTAGATATAGGACTAATTTCTCAAAAAATAATTTAAACAGATATCAATTAGATTTCCAGGAAAAAAGATTTTTAAAAATGCGTCAAATATTTTCAATGATGAACCAACTAAGTCCTTCTTTCATACCAGGCACATCTCTACCAAGGGTCATTGATTTCAGTTGCTCATTATACCCATGCAAATAGTTGCCTGCTTTTTTCCAAGAAGAGAGAAAAATATCTTCAAATGACATAAATTTTAATACACTGTACATGGCAAGCAAAGCTCCAAGATAAGTCTGCCTATATTCTAAATCTTCACAAGTAGAGTGTTGCCTTCTCTTAATACGAATGCAAACAGTTGTCAGTGAGATTGCAGGAATATAGAGAATTGCATAAATAAAGATGGTTTTAATTAAATCTTTCTATATTTATTAACATAAGATAACGCCTTTTCCTTTTCCTTTTCATGTAGGCCAGTAATACGAGTGCGAATGGGGTAAACCCCCTCCAAACATACACACTTTTGAGGAAAAGTCTTGCTACAGTTCAAATATTATAATTAACTATTGGTTTCTAGGTTCCTGAACATTTTGTTGCAGTATATAAAACTGTGACAAATTATTGCACTTAAATAAATTTTTAGCGAGTATTTCCCCCACGAATTTGGCCAGTGGAGTGTGTGTGGAGGGGGGGGGGGGGGCTATTAATAGCAAAATAATGGTTATTCAAAAAGCATAATAACTTTTTTGGAAAGGCATAATAACGCTTTTTAGAAAGCATAATAACGCCTTTTAGAAAGGCGTAATAACGCTTTTTAGTAAGGCGTAATAACACCTTTTAGAAAGGCGTAATAACGCCTTTTAGGAAGGCGTAATAACGCCTTTTGGAAAGGCGTAATAACGCCTTCTAGAATTGAAAGGTGTAATAACGCCTTTTAGAAAGGTGTAATAACGCCTTTTGGAAAGGTGTAATAACGCCTTCTAGAATGGAAAGGCGTAATAACGCCTTTTAGAAAGGCGTAATAACGCCTTTTAGGAAGGCGTAATAACGCCTTTTGGAAAGGCGTAATAACGCCTTCTAGAATTGAAAGGCGTAATAACGGTTATTCAAAAAGCATAATAACTTTTTTGGAAAGGCATAATAACGCTTTTTAGAAAGCATAATAACGCCTTTTAGAAAGGCGTAATAACGCTTTTTAGAAAGGCGTAATAACACCTTTTAGAAAGGCGTAATAACGCCTTTTAGGAAGGCGTAATAACGCCTTTTGGAAAGGCGTAATAACGCCTTCTAGAATTGAAAGGTGTAATAACGCCTTTTAGAAAGGTGTAATAACGCCTTTTGGAAAGGTGTAATAACGCCTTCTAGAATGGAAAGGCGTAATAACGCCTTTGAGAAGGGGTAATAACGCCTTTTAGGAAGGCGTAATAACGCCTTTTGGAAAGGCGTAATAACGCCTTCTAGAATTGAAAGGCGTAATAACGCCTTTTAGAAAGGTGTAATAATGCCTTTTGGAAAGGCGTAATAAGACTAATAATGCCTTCTAGAATGCAATGGCGTAATAACGCCTTTTAGAAAGGCGTTATAACGCCTTTTAAAAATTCATTATAACGCCTTGTGGAATGGAAAGGCGTAATAACGCCTTTTTCGCGTTATTACGCCTTTTCAAAAGGCGTTATAACGCCTTTTTAATTTTTTTTCTCTGTAGATTGATCCTAATAGGCTTTCGTACTATATCAGTAATGTCATCTCCAAAACATTTAACTCATAGGCGTCGGAACGAGGGGGGGGGGGGGGGGCTGCTAAGCCTTCCACTTTTTTGCAAATACATACATAATATAGGCATAATGGGGTTAACCTTTTATAGTTGCTTTATCCTCCCCCCCCCCCCCCACTTTCGATTTGCTTCCGACGCCTATGAAACTAAAAAAAAAAGACATGTCTATAAGAACTGCGCAAGAGCGCGATCGTGCAACTTACATTATCTAGTTATCGTTTTGATTAATTAAAAAAATTAAATCTGGTAATTGGAATGCTTTCTCCAAGAAACTGAACCGTTGACATTTGTCTTTTTCGACGTTGCAGATTGCTCCGGATGTTAGCGAACGATAATTTTAAAAAATCTGAATTTCAGCGCCAAAAGTCGGAGCAGGGATGGCAACAAAAAGTCCCATGCAGAAAGTTGACAAATAAAGTCAAAGGGCTGAGCAGAATACATTCTCTACTTACCCCATATCCTTCCGTATTCAATCCCTAATAGCAACAAGTTCAAGGTCATTGGTATCCAATGAAAGGTCTTGCCACAAAGAATACATTATTTTATGTAAAATATGGAAGCTCTAGCCCTAACCGTTCAGAAGTTATGGCCAAGGTTAAATTTCAAAAAGTAGTCAAACTCTAAGGTGAAGGTCAAAGGTCTTGCTATCAAATGAAAGGTCTTGTCTCACGGCTAAGATATGTAAAGCATGAAAGCACTATCCCTAACCCTTAAAAGTTATGGTCAAGATTTGCTTTTTAAAAGTAAGTCAAACTCAAAGGTCAAGGTCAAAGTTTCAAAGTTCTTTATATCCGATAAAGAGTCTTTTCACGATGATTACATAAGTGATGTATGAAGGTCTATCCCTTACCGTTTAAAAGTTATGGCCAATAAAGTTTTTTCACAAGTACGGAAATCTCCAAGGTCAAGGTCAAAAGATCAAGGTTGTTTCTTTCCACAGAGAATACATATATGTGAAGTATATAAATGACCTGGCATCTACTGTTCAAAAGATAGAGCCAAAGTAATAGTCTGGAATTTTTGTGTAAAAGTGGGTCAAACTCCAAGGTCAAGGTCAAACAGACAGACAGACGGACGGACACGACAAAAACTATACACTCCGAAACTTTGTTTACGGAGGCAAAAAAATCCAAAGTTTCAAAGAGTTTTAGCTGTACATAGCTTTATAATTATCATACCTCGGAAACCATTCCGACTGACGCTACTTTTACCGCAAGCTACTGATCACATGGTTCCTTTCAAGTTTGTCACAAGGTACGAAATTTTAAAACTATCAAAGTAAGAAAACTTCATCGCTGATATTATTTCTACAATATTAAAGATGAAAACAGTTAATATATTGCCTATGTGAATCTTGATTCTAATAGTATATTGTGCGTTCACAGTGATATTTTCATCTGTGCGCTGATTGTTTACATCTTGGGACTGGGTAAAGCAGGAAACATATTAGTATATTATCTTGCCAAACGGAAAGTTTATCCTTTTGTTTTTATGTTACATCGCCAATTCTAATTTTTAGCTCTACTGGTCAGAGACCAGAAGAGCTTATGCGATAGTAAGGGGTCCGGCGTCCGTCCGTCTGTCTGTCTGTAAACTTTTTTTTTACAAAATGCTACTCCTCCTACAGTTACAGTATGTCAGATTTCAATGTAACTTGGCACACAAGTAGACTACACTAAGATACATAACACTGTAATATCGATTTTAATGAACCGTGTTGCCATGGTTACTAAAAATAGGAATTTTTGTAAAATTCTCTCTAAAAGCTCAGCCAGCTCCAAATATAGTTTTGATTATGTGGCATGCAAATAGACTACACTAAGATACATATTTGGTTTTTTTTTATTCTGATGAATGATGGTAACTAAAATTGAAAATACTGTAAAAGTTTATTAAAAGTTTCTCCTACAGTTGTAGTCTTATTGCAAAATATTGTCACAAACATGACAAAAAGAGACTTAATCAAGGATCATTAAAATTCTATTTATTGCTGTTGTATTAAGTTTCATAAGTCCCAACTGTGACTTTCATCTTCCTTTGTTATAAGTACACACCAGTACAGAAGTAGAGCTTCAGTCTTGAAAGAGAATTCTGGTTTCCTCTCAGTTCTGCAGCTCCTTGGATATTATAATTGTGTGGGAAAAACAATCAGAATTTGGGTTTAAAAAATTGTCATGAAGGCTGCTTATAGGCAGAAGATATGTTGGATCAAATATTTGCATCTTTATTTCCTATGTACTTGAAACACAAGCATTAGATTTATATGATAAAAAGCAAATAACATATGGCATCACAAAGCATTTATCACAGTAAATTTTATCGATAGGTTGAGACACAGTTGATTGGACTTATGTTTACAAAGAATTTATTTGGGAACGTAGGAAATAAATTCATTATCCAGGTCCAATCAAGGGTGTACAGGGATTTACCCAAGTTGTATTCCATTCGGCCTCAGGGTGTATGGAATAAAACCTGGGGTAAATATATACTAAATCCGTGTACACCAAAGTTGATTGAACCTGGATAACTAATATTATTTGGGTAAAATATAGTGTTAAACTGTAAGAATATAGTCTTTGATATGGGAATGTTCTACACATGCATGCTAGGCCAGACTGCAAGTCCTTTTGAAAGCAGAAATGCATCTATACATTTGTAACGATCCCTCCCCCATTTTTCTTGAATCTCATTTTTT